TGTTTTTTTTTTTCTACTCTTTTGATATTTCGAAATTTCAACAATTAGGTGTTTCTTTACCTTTTTGAAAAAACTGTTGGTGATGATATTGTCTTTAATAGTAATCTGATCCTTTCTAGATTGGACTGCGTTTAATGAGAAGAATTCTGATACAAGTGAATTTGGCCTGACAGCTTTGGTCAAATAAGCAAGAACTGCTCTATAAGACAGTCAGAAAGGACACATTACAAAATTTCTAACATCATAAACACTGCTTTTCTTTTATTTTTTTTTTTCTTTTCTTATCTTTTATATATAGTGTTAGAGTGGATTTTTTTTTCTACAAAACATTATATAATCTTTGTAGTCTAGTATAGGCAAAAATAATGTCATTATGGCTATCTTCTTTGTGGCCTTTTTCTCCTTTTCTCTGTTTTTTTTTTCTTTTTGTTTTTTTTATCTTTGTTTAGTTTAGTTATTTTTACCTTTTTATTACTTTTATTTTCTTAAATTTTCCATTGTTCATTGATAGATTCTTCTATCTAAGAGGCTAGAAGAAAAAGGTTGGAAAAGAAGATGATTATGACGGGCTGGTAAACCAGGCCAGTGAGCCAGAAAGGTCTTTTTAAGATAGAAAGAACCAAACTGGAAAGGCTGAACTCATCTTTGGCAGGTCACATATAGGTGCTGGCAATATTTAGATATCTAAAAGTAACCAGGTGAGCCACATTCCAGTTTAAGTTGATAAGACAGTGCTAACTCAATTGTTTTAGAATAATTAAAATTGCATAATAAGGCCAGGCATGTGACAAATTTAAAAAAAAAAAAATTATATTATTTAAAATTACAGTATTACTAGTATATAGTACAATATATATTCTGTATATATAATTAAAAAATATTAAAAAAAGAATTAAAAAAGTAAAATAATTTTACTATATATATACTTTTTAGTTACATACTATGTATTATCGTTATACGCTTTATTATTAATTATAATTACAAAATCGTGTAACAGATAAAATTAAGTTTTACTAAACCTAATTTATTCGGATTATCTGATGATCATGCTTACAAGTCATTAGCTGTTTTTTTTAATGTTGCACGTACGTACGTACATAGATCAAAAAAAAAAAACTGTAATGCACGATAATTTTTTTTTTTCTTATCTACATGCTGCCAGATAAGCTCTGTTTATCTGACAAATGGATTCTGTCTCAACAAGTATGTCTCGGTTGCACCGAAAGACTTTAATCGCTGTTTTTTTTTAAAACTCTATATTAGCAGAGATTGATCAAATCATTCATTATTTCTGTTAATCTATACGTAGAAAAGTAAGGCGGCGCTTATTTACAGTATATATATACTATACAGGGACCCGAAAGGATTAAATCACAATTAATCACAATTCTTATTAGATATCACATTATAAACCTTTCAATGATGCACGTGATAATTAACCAATTAAATTATGAATTCATCGTTTTTACGATCAAGAGAAATATTTCAAGCACATTTGGTTGTCTTGAGATTTAGGTCTTTATATTTTTGCAACAAATTATCAAGCACTAGCTGGTATATATTAAAGATTTATTTGGCATTTTTAAATGCCAATATTCTATTAGAAATGTTGACAAGACTTAAATACATTTTTCGCAATAGCGGTTCTAAATTATAATATATAGCAGAAAATAGACCAAATCTTAGTTTGGATTTTTTACAAATGCTAAATATAATGTATTTTGGTTATCGCAATAAAAAACATTTTTTGCCATAACCCAAAACATTTTTTCGGGTCCCTGATACTATATAACCTGGTTTCAGAGGTTACTGTGCTACAGTACAGTACTCTACTCGTGTGGCAAGGTACGTACATATCCTTAGAGGTATGGGTAACCAGAGTACGGTATGGAGTGCAGCGTATATCGATATGTAATTCCCAAATTTTATATAATTTGTATAGGTATGCATTTTACGTACGTACGTACGTACTGTACACCCCATCCCATACTGATCTGTTTAACTAGAAATGTTATTACTATGAAATCATGTACACACGTAAGTACAATAAACCAATTTTTTTAGGAAATCTGTTACAACACAAAAATTCGTCATGTCTTTTGCGCACTAATTAAAAATGATCCTTACTTCAATTTTTTAAAGCTTTAATAACAATTTAATTTAATTGCGATTTGTGCAGATTAGAAAGCGTTAGAAGTTGTTAATTGGGCAAATTGACACGCCACATATCTTAATGATTCTTTTTACCATTGTCCAAAATTTTATTTATGCTGCACAGGTGCTACTGTTTCACTATAATGGATATTCAAGCTCCGGATTTAATATTCTTATTTTCTGAAAAATTATATTTCTTAAGGTCAATTATAGAGAATCCCTACCAGGATATTATTAAATTATCCGGGTTATCCAGGTAATTTATTATAATTTCAGGTACTGTAGTCTACCCGAGTCCAATCCCTAGGTCTTTATTGCATATGATTGTGTATTTTTTATTTTTTTTTTATATATAGATTGAAAAAAAAATTCAAATAATTATTCTTTAAAAGTGTCGTACAGTACTATATAAAGCCAAGGTATTTTTCGAATTTTAAATCATATTTATAAAAATAGATATAATCGTTTTTTTCAATCGCATTATGCTTATTAATTTCTAGACATTTATATCTATCATTTTACTCTTTATTATGCCAAAATAGATATTTATCAAGGTAGAACAATAACCCTTTTTTATAAGTATTATTTCAAAAATTTTTAGTGTGTATATGCAACTTTCCTAAAGATTTTCTTTATTATCTAAATGAATTCCTTTCGCATCTCTTTCACAATTTAATAGATAGAAAATGTTTAGAAAGATTACCAAGGATTTTTGAAAGAATACTTGTTAAAAATGTTTTCATTTAACATTTTCAAAGTCTTTTGCTTGTTAAATAATGAGACAAAGATTGTTGAACTAGACATGTTTGCGCATTTAATTTGATATTTTGAAAATATTATTGGCTTTGTTAATGTATACAGTGTTTCCAAGTTCACTTAGTTTATCACATGATCTTACGATTTAAAAAAGCGATGATTGATAAATTAAAACACCCATTGGCAATGAAGCCATAAAATATCGATATGTGACTAAGTATACGGACGGTAATCCAGTGTAGTCAATTGACATAGACATGGAACGCATTGGACATGTCTATGAACAAATAATGTCCAAGGTAATTTCTATGTCCAAGACTATAAAATATTTGTAGAATTTAATAAATAAATCTATATCGTAGTTAGCATCGTTGTCAATAAACATAAGCTCTAATATGTTGTACGTCACAACATCTCACAACATCTCAGTTGTTCATATCTATAGGTTGGTTGTCAAGAAAACATGCTAAACTGTAAAATGGATCTTCAAGAACATGGATCGTCAGCGAATGGGCTTTTTGTGATGTAGGTTATCGGGAAATGTGAGGCGTTAGAAACAATAGGACTGGACTATCCTTGGATTGGTCCTGTGTGAACTAGGCTTGGTTACTAATATTGATTTTTGTGTTGAACCTGGTTTCAAAAATCCTGATTCATGCATAGTTGCAAAAAAATATTCGTATTCAGAACATATAATCCATATTTTCACGCTGATTGGTCAAAATTATGAAATATTGTCATAATTGTCCTTATTATTGTTATCGTTATACTTGCAAAAATTATTATGAGCTGGGCTAGAGACTGGGCTCGTGATAGTGATACAGTAGAATCGTCCTAACGATGCTACGGCTTAAGCCATAACTATGTCGTAACTATCTACGACAATCATTTGGGACGATTCTACTGCATCACTACTCTACTCGAAAAAATTATAACTGCGGACTCGCGGATACTCGTAAATCATGATTCGAAACTCGAGACGGGTTCAATCACTAGGCTGGGCTTGGATCTACCCATCAAATATGGCTGGATTTGCTTGATTGCTCATGAACACATGTTCATGTCCAATAATGTTATTGGTAATTCATTCATGTACCTTACTTGCCGCAGGATGTTCGAAAATTGGCGTTGACGTTCGCAAGTCTACGGACAGTTCTTGTGAGCTATTGCAGTAAATTCTTATAGCCTAACTGTCCTAACTGATCACACATGTGAATTTGTACTGTCCCTAAGCACTGTCTGTAGGTCGGTCGTACGTACATACATACAGTGTTGCGATAGAATTTCTGAGGTACGTATGTACGTACAATCAGTGTTGGAAATCATATTCATAGTGAACATAAATTTTTTATTTTTTATTTTATGTTTACATTTGTGAACATAAATAATTTTTTATCTAATTAATAAAATTTTATTTGTGATCATTATTTTTTTTTTAATGTGAACATAAAAATAAAAAGGTTCACAAAAATCATCATATTGTCTTTTGAATTTCCAACACTGTACAATCAAAGTTTATCACATGATAATATAGGCAAGCGAGACGTCGTTTTTTTTTTTTGGATAACGTAAAAATTTTTGGATTTGGCCGGCATTAATAAATTAAACTTCATAATTCTGGCCATATCACATGATTTGAATTATTGCTCAAGAAAAAATTTTTAATTGTATGAACAACCGTTAAAATTTCGATTTTTTATGAATAACCCTGGATTTTTTCCCAAAAATTATGGAAATTATGAATCCATAATTTTCAGCGTCCCTGGATCCAAGACTGGTTTTATACTGATAACTTTGTAAATTATACTGTAATATATTTTGATCACACTAGGAACACTAGGATATGCGTTACCATTATACAGTATTCAAAAATTCTAATCATTAAAGGCTCGTAGAAATTAATTACGAGTATTTCATTATGGTACTTGATGTTGAAAAAGTAGAAAAATTTTGCCTAATGTCGAAATTTTCCAATCAACTTAACGTTAAAAAATTTGACTAACATTAGCCGTCATTAACCAAAAAAAGCAATAAAAATTATGCAAAATGATTCCGCTTAAATTTCGATTTTTTTGTATATAAAATTTAAAATGACTGGTACGCGTAAATTTTTAACAGAATTAAAATTTTAAAATTATTATTTCATTTATTAATATTAATTATTTTCTCGGATGGATTTCATATAAAATATCGGTTAGATTATAAAGAAGAGCAAGAACAAGAATTAGAGGTATTAAAATCGATTTATCCGGATGAATTGGAAGGTATTTGATTGTATGAATTCAAATTTTATTTTAAATTAACAATGTCATTCGGTTAAATGAGAATATCACGGTTTACCTAATTATAAGAATCAATTCATTTTTAAAAGCGGAACAACAATGGTTTTAATTTTTTTTTATCTTAAATTACCAACTCTCTAAAATTGGGGATATGTAAAAAAGAATTAGGTGAAGGAGAATTTCGTATAACGGTAAATCCTGAAGAACAGGACAGTTCAGCACCGCGTAAGGTTTTTATATCATCTATTTTCATTCAATTATTTTTACTAATTCATGATTCTTTCGTTTCTTAATTTCTTTTTATCAATTTTTTAATAATCAATTATTTAAATACTAGTTGTTGTGGCGTTACGAATAAAATATACACCCACATATCCAGAAGAAATTCCTGAGATTTCGTTAGAAATTTTGGAGGGCTCATTAGAAGAGAATGAACATGATAATTTTTACAATGACCTAACGAATACGGTAGTAAGATTTTTAACAACAAAAGTTTTAATTTTATTATTCTGTTTACTAATTTTCAAATTTCAAAAAGGCTCGGGATTCAATAGGAATGGCAATGGTATTCACATTATTATCATTCCTCAAAGATTCCTTAACAACATTTGTGATAGAACGACAAGAACAAAGAAAGAAAGCTGAAGAAGATCGAATTAGAGAAGAAATTGAGGTATTATGTGATCTATTTTCGTATTTTAGTTTGACTAACAATGTTAACAAGCGGTCTTTATAGGCAGAGAATGCAAAATTCCAAGGTACAAAAGTAACAGTCGCATCATTCTTAGAATGGAAGGAGAATTTTGAGCGAGAAGTGGCTGAAAAAGAAAAGGCTACGAAAAGTTTGGCTTTAATAAAAAAAGAGGAAATTAGAAAGAATAAGCTCACTGGTACTTTTTATTCTATTTTCGTTTTTAATATTGTATTGTTAACACTGCTGACTTTGTCCTTATAATATTTAGGTCGACAATTATTCGAACAAAATGAAGAGCTAGCCAAGTCTGATGCCACATTTATAGAAGAAGGCGATGTTACGGTGGATATTTCGTTATTTGAAAGAGAAGTTGATATAGAAAGTGAAGAGGAAGAAAATAGTGTTCTTGATTTAGTAAGAAGTAGTAATGATTAGTAATGGTCTCATTGGATCTACTTGATAATTTATAGATATCAGATATGTATAATTATGGCATACAGTACATATTGTTTGATATTAGGTGTTCTTGGCACAAGAAAAATTATGTCATAAAAAAGAAAAATATATTTAATTACTGTTCAATATCTTTCATTTACATCGTGATCAGAAAAAAAAAAAACTAAAATAAACACTCATTTTATTTTAATATCTATATCTATGCATTGCAAATCAGTAAATAATATAAATATATATTATATATGTTTTTAACAACGTAAAGCGATATCAGATCACAACTAATGAACAAAGAATAAATTAAGCAATGTATGACAAAGAATCCCTTTGCCCCTCCTCACGTTCAATATATTCTTTTTCAATTAAAATATCAATACACTTTTTAATTTCTGAAACTTTAGGCATAAAGCGATTCGACAATTGGGAGATTACTTCTTCTACTAAATGAACATGTTTCAATTTTTTACGAGTTTTCATAATTCGGACGATGGCCGCCTAATAATTAAATGTATGAATTCATAATTCTTTCCAATATAAAGTGGATGAGTCTATGATGTTTTAAATTAAGCATTTACCTGCATCAATAATTTCCTGTCTTCATCAATAGTTTTGTGGGTTTCCTCGACTTCAATTTTTTGTTCAGACTTAATCGGAACATTCAACTGAATTCGAAATTTTTTGCTATTCAGATGAACATAAGATTACATATGCATGCCTAAAAATATAAACGAATAAAAAAAAAAAAAGTCTGAACCTCTTAAAATCCATATTAAGCTCGTATCGCGGAGGTTTATCAGGTTCTTCTCCTTTCAGATTTAAAACCTTTGCTTTAACCAAAATTCCCAACTGTGATGTTAGGGTGTCTGAAACCAGATCAGTGCTTTGACTCAGATCATCAAAAGTGTATGAGGTATCTTTGTTGTATTGTAGGAGAATACCCATTTGATATGTTGACACCTACAACGGAGTACATACAGAATTAGGGATTAGGGATTTCTGAACAACTTAAACATGTTGTTTAGAATACAAACCTGAAAAGTATATCCCGTTTTTGATCCTTTGCAATAATTGGTTTTCAATTCACCTTTAGATAGGTGGAATAACCAGTTTAACTTGCGACCTGAATGCTTATTCTGATAAAATAATTTAAACCGTTGGAAAGTTTTTTCGACCTATAAATGAAACCATATATATAAATATGGATGATCCAACTGAATGATACTCTTCATTATAAAAAAAAAAAAAAAAAAAAAACAGTAAATTGAAATGCGTACCTCTTCAGGAATAATAAAGTTTGTGCTTGACGGCGAAAGTGGCCAGGATGCAGTTCCCAATACAAGTACAGAGAAATCGACTTGTAAAAAAAAAAAAATAGATGAGATTAAAGTGTATAGAAAAATAGTAATATGTTCTCTAAAATTATATTACCTCCGTTGTCCGTTTCCCCTGATGTTCTCTCTTTGAATTGATCATTAAGATCTTTACTTAGTCCCATATCAGTAAACATACGTTGTAATTTTGAGGTATATTCGAATCCACAAGCTTCCTGTAAAGGAAAAAAAAAACAATGAATCCAATGAATATAGTATTATGCATACACATAATATACATTAATGCGTAAACAAACCTTAAGCTTAGAGATCATGCTTGACTCAGCATCTTCTGATGCCGATGTACTATGAACAAGACGTTTCGCCAACATCTTGGAATAAAATTTTTGAAAAACGTCTTTGTCTTCCACATACTTGAATACGGTCATCTGAAATATAAATGTATAGATATATAAGCTTAAATTATTAAGTAGTATATGATTATGTGAATATATACTTACGACATTATTCAATACATCTTCGAGGTCACCTTCTTCTGGGTTTTTTGAACTTTTTCGAAGCAATGAATCGCAAAAACGTGCTAACAATTCTGGTGACTTAGATGAACCCGTCTTACATACTGCATTACGATTAACAAAGTCACGGCAAGCCTACATAGTAAAACGGAACAATGCTTTAAATATAAGTATTCATATTGCTATCAATAATAATTTAAATATAATTTGCTATTTACCTTATCCAAAGAGGCAACGAAACCAGCTTCACTTTTAAAAGCTTTATTTACCATGTCATTGTATTTTTTATGTACTTCTAAAAGTGCATCCACATAAATCCTTGGTTCCTTGTCCTAATATTTAAATAAAAATATATATAAGTTTAATTCGGTAATACAATATTACACCCATCATAAAGACATATGTTGTATATTGAAAAAACTTCAATGAAACTTGGACAAGAAAAAATGGCCTATATAGACAGATGTCATTACAATGGTGTGATGCGTATGATAATAAACATCTTACAATGTTATCAGTAATTTCTTTAGCGACTCTTTCGATTGCCTCCGACCCTGACTTACGAACATGTTTTTCGAAACACTCACGCAGAGGGTCTAAACCATTACTGCGTGATAAGAGTGTGTACATACGATTTAAATCATCCATTTTATCTTTATCAAGTAAAATTTGGAATTCTTCAACCATAATATCCTCATGATTCTTCACAAGAACTTGTTCGCATGTGGTAATTAACTACACAAAGAAGTTAAATATTTTTGTCATAACATTATTAAACAAGTGGCTAAATGTAAATGATTTACCTGTTTATGGGTACTCTGATGCAAATACAATTTAACACGGTCCTCCTCTTCAGCTAATCGTGCCTCAGCCTACAAAATAACGAACAATTTTAAGATGAAAGTTTATGAAACTTAAAAAAAATTTTTCACGGTTACCTTCTTCATATAATCTGTAACACTATTTTCAGTGACATATTTTTCTGATTCGGTCTTGTAATAAATTTCTGATGCCTTTACGAATGGTTCTTCAAAGTGTTTTTTATAGATGTCAAGAGTAGGCTTTGAGGAATCAGCGTCATCAAGACCAAGAGCAACTATATATAGTATTATTTTAGTTCAACGTTAAGTTAATCATAAACAATACGAAACTAACAAAAAAAAAAGTTTACCAAAAGAGTCAACGACGCTCTTTACTAGTTTAGTTTCGACACGTTCTCCGTTTCTTTGACGTTCGATTAGTGCTAGTACAGCAGCCATAACGTTACGCTCGACGTGCATGAACATGTTATCTCGCCAACTAACAAGCGTAAGCTACTCAACAAGAAATATATGCTACGAATTGAATCAAAACAATTTAATGAATTTATATTAAAAAAATTTTTTCTTTTCTTACATACGGTGTATACATCATAAACTGTTTTACGGCCTTCATCAATTTCTCTTTTCACCCAATGACGATTAAGATATCTAAAAACATGATGCAAATATGCTGAAGCTGTAGTATATTTCTCCCAATGTTCCGTGTAATACCGCAAAAGATTCTCATCCATGTATTGAGAAGAACCCTATGAAATGAAGACCAAATTTAACGAGCCTTAGAACATCAAGTAGAACAATATATATTATATATGATTTATACCTCACGAATGACTTGTAGATGTCTTTGAAGGTATTCTTGAAGGTTCTGATACAAATCACTTCCCATTAGGTTAGCACCTGTTCCAAATCAAAATCAATTCAATAGTAAGTATAGACTTGTAATGATAACAGTAATAAAATTCGTAGGTTAACCTTATACCTCTATTATTATTCATAGTAGCACCGGGACCCGCGAGAGGTTCTGAAGTAAATCCGGGATTCATACGACTACTTGTACAATAGTTGTAAATACCACTGTATTATTATTGTTGATAACAATATTGTTAAGGTTGTATTGGAAATCAGATACGACAAATAAATGTATCCGAGAAGAATATCATCGCGATTGCGAACCAATGATACAAAGCCAGATTATTGAAACCTTGCAACTGAACAATAATAGATTTGAAAAGGATACGTATATAAATCCATGTAACGCTTATAGCTGAGTCCTTCTTCTAATCTATTCATAATATGCTCGATGCCATTTTCAAGAAATTCCCAGGTCGCCTTCAAGTCTGTCGGTGGTGGCAATGGCGGATTGGAGTCCATTATGATCTATTGTAAAGGAAGAAATGCGCGTCTAAATTATATTTCCATCGTTGATCAGTAATGACACTATAAGTTAGCTGTTACCTTGCTATAAAAACTCGAGCTATCAGTTCAGAACACAGAAGAGACGCGTAGTTTTTAATTTCAAAAAGAGAGAAGAACTGAAATTAAACGTATGAATTATTAATGGATTCTTTACCGGATCGAATTTTAAGTTCCGATGTACTTATGGTCACACCAACATGTAGTTTCTCAATAGACATTCACGTGACACTATTTACGCGTTGAAAAATTTGAAAATTCTTTATTGGTTTTGCTTCTAGCATCAATTGCCATCAAAAACAAGATTATTGTTATATCCAATTGACCAAATTTAATTATTATATGTGTGATTCTTAACATTCACATAAAGATCTAATTTAATTAATCTCGCATTCTAGTATAACAAAGAATGCTAATTTAAAACCCATGACAAAATAAAACTCCGAATAAAAAATGCATTAGAATAATCACATGCAAGACCACATATTGAATAACAAATTCCACTTAGGGTTTACGAAAATTAAATTCAGAATCAATTACACCTAGGGAATGGTAAAGTCTAGTCCTGGCCCGGTCCTGATCTCATAACCTGTAGGTTTTACTGCATGAACTTATGGGCCAAGTCCTTATAAAACCGGTTTTAGGACTTTAGTTAGGTCCAGTCCAAGTCTTAGTCCTAGAACTGGGTCCGCTATATGTTGTAGTGCTCGCAACTATAAATGTTGGTGAAATATGGTGAAATGTGAAATAACTTCACCACTATTGGTGAAATTGGTATTGAATTGGTGTTGAATTGGTGAAATTGGTGTCACCAGCATCTATACTCGCAACCTAAGACAACAAAAATCAAAGGCTACTCGAAAGAAAGCGTGGAAGATTTGGTCCGAGAACTAAGGATCCTACTGCCATTAGGATCCCTGGAGTTTATCATTATCATTAGATGGTCTTTATCATTATAACACTTCACTTGTTTTCAGATACATGAAATCGATGGTTATTTATACATTACAGAGAGCTTTGGGGCTTTGCTACTACGATTAGGATCTATAAGCAATATGACTATTTAGAATATCGGAGGGGGAATCTATGACTAACGATGAGTAATTCAAGCCAAACCCGAATTGGCATTTATTAAAGCCTCATTAAGGTCCCGAATCTTATGGCTTAGATCACGTTTTTTTGCTGCGGCTAGTTTACGTTACCTCTTCATAATGTACATATTGACATTTACCTATTAAATATTATGTGAACTATACATTAAATAAATGATTATGTCTCAAACTATGCATTTAAAACTTTATTGAAATTATACTGTATATATATTGATTAGGCTGTCCAGAATTATGCAATAGCAGAAATTTGCAATTGAAATGAATTTATTATTTTTAATAAATTGTAAACTATTATAAATTTGTATATTAGGGCTTTTTAAAGACCCAACGACCCTAGGTCCTTAAATTTGGACTTGATCTTTAAAGACCAAGTCCTAAGGTCCCGGACCTAAGGACTTTACCAACCCTAATTACACCCCATTACGCCCTTTAATATCACTGACATCAATCCTTAGATAGAACCGTACCAAATACGGAATCCCAGAATTTACTTGTAATTCCATATCCTAATTCATAATTTTTATAATGGTGAGCTAGGTGATATGTCTTCATCTCCCTCAAGTGCTGGCTAAACGGGCGCGCATGATGCAAGTGATAATGGGTCATGTCATAACACACATAACCAAATATTGCACCAGCAATTAAAGCACATGCAATATTTTCAGGGAAAATAATATATCCAAGTTGAATGATCGGGTAGGCGATGGAAGCACCAAGTATCGGTGGCATTACAAGACGAAGTCTTAAATATTGATTATTAAGTCAGTCCTGTCAGAAATTGAATAGGCAAGTAAAAAACATCAATGAAATAATACCCTACCTGTCCATCGGTAAATAGTGATGAATACCATGTAGAGCAAAATGCACAGAAAGTGCGTAGGGATGATCAGGTAGTATAGTGTCGACGTGAAATAAAAATCTATGAAGTGTATATTCTAATAAAGTCCAAATTCCAATACCGAAAAGGAATAATACGATAATGGTCCGCGAACCCAAACTTCCTGATGCCGTATATAAATAATACGAAATTACTGGAAACCAAAGGATGGGAATTGCATACCAAGGTGTCTTTGTTAACAATTCTAACATTGGATTCGCAAATAATCTAGCCGAATAAGGGAGATGGCGTGGCTGATGAATTTGTTTAAGATAGAATTCTTTGCTGAAATTGCAATTGAACATTTGTGCAAATAAGGGCTTATTAAGGTTTAAGAATTTTTCGTTAAGGTCGGACTTTATATCTGTCGTTTCAGGTCGAAATTTATCAATTGTTCGTTCGTCGAATATAGTGCCCACATCCTTACTTTGTGTAGTTGAAGCAACAGTATTGTCAACCACTTCTCCAATACATGAATCTGCCAACAATTCATATGCGCTCTTAGTATGTTCGTGTAAAGTGGGGTCGGTCATAATTTTAGTAACATCTTGTCCACCCCATTCCAAAAGTATTTCAGCACCACCGGGATGGTCGAGTGCGAATTCTGTTAAATCATAAACTTTGTTGTTGTGGATGACCCAAAGTTTCTTCTGGGTATTGTGCTTGGAAACCTCTTCACGAGAATAACGGAACAGAATTCGTCCGGGCATATTGACTAGAGATTTGTAGATCCAAATTTAATTATTACAGGACAAAATCATAGGAAATCTTTAGAAAAAAAACGCCTTTCGATCGCGACAATGTGGTGCAGCGACTGTTTTATACAAGACGCAAAAGATTATCTTGTTATAAACAGCGATCATGAGGTCAAAAACCCGGTTACTCACGTGATAAATCACCGTTTTGGCACGAATTCTAAATATGATTGGCCAATTAGGGCTTAGCTTCGGCAAATTTAAGAGAGCTAATAATTAATTTAACCAAATGCATGTCAACTAAATTAACCGAGTACTACACTCCCTGACAAATCACCATTATTTTAATTATCACGATTATCGTTATTAATCGTAGCCACATAAGTTATAAAACCTGTTTATTATGTATAACGATTTTTGTAAATAAAATTATTAAATCATGCTATATATATCGATAATATAGAGATATTGCTATATTAAAGTAATTAATACTAGGTGTTTTAAGTAAAGATGCCTAGCATCAAAAAATATGTGCCGAACATCAATATATAATTGGGTTTTCATAACCTGGCCGGGTCAAAATTCAAAAACTAAAAAAAATTGTTATATTTTTAATAACTGGGTAGGTTTAATTTGAAAAAAACTAATCATACACGGGTATTTGAAACTCAGGTATAATTTTTATACAATTTTTATTAAAATTTAAATTTAATTAATATTACGGTTAAGGTTTGTAATTAGAATTGAAACAAATATAGTTTATATAAAATTTTACAAAAAAAATGATATGTATAATATAGTTCTATCTGATAAAGACTTCCCAAACCCAAGATGACCTGTTATAACAAATTTCACTTCTCTAAGGATCTTTAACTTTCTAAGAATTTTGTACTATATAGATACTCCTCAATACTTTGCTAGATATTGTATACTATATGGGGTTATTCATACTAAAAAGGCCCATTTTGCAATATGAACAATTTTGAGTTAATTGAGTTTAATCACTTGTTTTGATTTTCAGACTGATCCGGGATTAAGAAATTTCACGATTTTGATTAGTTAAGAGTAAAAAGTAACTATCGGGTAATCTCGTGATATGCTTGGCCTTAGACAGCTTTGTGTAATTTTTCTTTATATTATCTCTATTTTTTATTATACAAATCGTCTTTCATTTATAATTGAAAAATATTAGTCATGTCAAAATTTACATGAATCTAATAAAAACTCATTTTTCGAAAAATTTGCAAAATGGGCCTTTTTAGTATGAATAACTCTATATTATAACTGTTGAACTTTCTCTTCTAATTTTTTTTTTTCTCAAGAGTCACAAAATAAAGAGGAAAGTTTTACAAAAAGGTTATACAGGTGGGTAACAAAAATAATTCTATACCTAAGAACTTTGCTTATAACTCAAAAATTTATTAATTAATTTTGGTTTTTATTTTTATTTTTTTTCCGTTAAGGAGACCTCTTTGGCCTGAAAGCTTTTATTAGGATTTGAAATAGTGTTTTATATGCAATTACAACGATGGTACATCAAGCTACACGTGTACCTTTTGAGTGCTTAATTTAAATAGTCTGCCCGAAGGTTTTACACTATCTGCTGTATCTGCACCCCAACTAGGGAGGTACCTATTTAAACTATCTGGTTATAACTACCACCGGTTAACCACCTAACCCGGGTTTACTCACCATTTATATATGGATTTTGTATCACCCTAGCAAAGAATTATTGACTGCCTTAGGACTTATCAACCATTTCTGGCTAATCTATCCTCGAGGTAAACCTAACAGAGCAGTACATGTTCCACACATATATTCACCTGCATGTTTCTATAACTTCTTCCTAATTAGTACATATTGGCCTGCCTTTCCATATTCATATCTCATACTACCTTTTAGAGTGCTGCCGTTCTACAGATATACCTCAAGCACCAACCTTCCTAACTAGACATCCATTACGTACTCCTTGCCCTTATTCAGTTCACAACAACCCCGATATCCACATTTGGACTGTCTCCTTACCCAGATTCTTTATTGGTCCCTCCCTTACTTCCAGCTGGCAACCCAAAAAGGTCGGTCTGCCCAGGCTTTAGGTGCCTAAAAGACGCTCTCCCCTTGGTTCATACTTTCAGAGCGTATGCCCTTTTTCTCTGGTGTGGCAACCCGGCAGTTCGGCTGGTGTGTCCTCTGCCAGCGGACCTGGTCACTCGGTTCTCCAATCTTGGGCCCCAGTTCGAATTCAGCCCTCCTGTGATACCATCAAAGATCACTGCTACCTCCAAATTCGGGACTTGCCAAATGGGTTTTCAGTTATTCCAGTTTCTCAGGTTTATTGCGCCAAAGCTCCCATAACTAGATAGTGTGACCGAGATTACAGATTTCTAGATCCAACCGATAATCGACAACCGTAAACTGTAGCACAGGCTATTTTTCAAAATTTATCGTCTGTGGGATTTAAACTCTAGACCTGCCACTTGAAAAGGGTGATGACTAGACTACTATACTAAGTCACCACACCTCTATTTTGGCTTTTATTTATTTATTTAAATTTATATTTATATATAGAAAAAAAACAACTCTTTCTGATAATTACTTAGACTAATTTTTTCACCAAAGAAACCCAATTTTGTTGAAGTGTTGCCTGTACCCAAGGTGTAGTAGGATAATATTGAGTATGGTTTTTATAGAGGTCAACTTACTACTTTTTTCTGAAAACTCCTTTATATATTCAATATGCAAGATAAAAGCATTGATATATAAGATAATTGGCAAGAGGTAGTGCTCTTGTATATAAAATTTTGGTAAAAAAACAAAGTATCACTGTTGACAAAGTTATCTATAGCAAAACAGTGAGAAACAACAAAAATAAGTTTTTCAACACTTTTTTTTAGAAATTTTGAAGAACTCACAACTAAAAACTCTCTCTTTCTATATTCTTGCTTGGTTTGGATTTTTTTAAAAAATTTTGCTAAACAAAAAATAAAAAAATTGATATATTTCTTTTAAAAGATCTGCATTGTTTACCAATTCCAAATTGGAAACAGAAGTTACGAGAAATCATGAATTTAGAAACCCAGAAACTCTAATTACACTAGCAGATAGCTTAATATACAGGTCTTTGAATAGTGGCAACACCTAGCTTGAGATACGAATTAGAACAGATATTTATAAAATTAAACTGTGTTATAAGGAACAAAAACTGGCATTGACTATTTGAAGAACTCTTCATAATAATTCTTGCAGAGCTAACTCTATCTAAAGATATTTATATATAATGTGAACTAAATTTAGAGTAGAGCTAAATTTAAGAGTATTATATAATTTTTTAGCTATTAATATTGCTATATTATTCTATTAGGATTATTCTTCTCTTTATGGCAGACAACAGCCAACCGTCGACCAAGAGGGTACCATTATGGTACAAAATTCTTAGAAAGTTAAGGATCCTAAGGAAGGTGAATTGTTGTTTTGGCAGGTCGCACTGGGCATAGTGCTTGGTGAGTTTTTATTAGACTAGAACATTATACTATAGAAATTATGTACAAATGTATATTAGTTACATAGTAGTTCAAATAAATAAAAGCAGGACTGCTTAAAAAAAAAAAAAAAAAAAGATTATTCTTCTCTTTTGTTTTTTCTTTTTCAAAATATATATTTCTTTTTTATTTTTCTTTTTGGCATTTATTTGGGTTTTTGTTAGTTGTTTTTATTTTGTCTACATTTTAAATTTTCTTATTTTTTTATCTCGTGCCTCTTAAAAAAAATAAAGAATTAGAAAGAAAAGAAAAAATCCTGACATGGTATATAACAACCTGTTAATACTCTTAAAAGTAACTTTGGTGTTACAAAATTTAAAATTAGACTTGAATTTTGGAAGAGACTAATAGTTGTTATAGCATGGTCACATTGAGCTTTAAGTCTTTATTAGTCATAAGCACTATATTATTCTAATATATCATAGTGTCATATAGTGGCTTAATTAAGTAAATAAAAGCAAGATTAAAAATAAATAAATAAATTTATATTTATATTTAAATTATATATTTGAATAATTAACAAGTTATTTAATTTTATTTTTAGAGTTTTAAAAAATTTGGTAAGTGTTTGTGTTTTTAAAAAATATTTTAATATCTATTGATTCAAATTTGACAAAATTTTAATATATATATATTGTGCCTCAGATCGATTCTTGCATTAGATTTAAACCAAAGCATATTAGATACAAATTTTAAAGTGACACATGTCACCTGATGATTGGTTATCTGACATGCATCAGTTGTAATCTGATACAAAATCATCAAAATTAAAAAAAAAAAGTTTCTTTCTAATAATGTAATTATGTAATAACATCATTATGTAATAATGTAAGTATGAGCAAGAATATAAAAAAAAGCCTTTTGCTACTTCTGCCTTTTCTTTTTAAAGCTTGGTTTAAATATTTCTTTATGAACATTGGCTTTATATCTTTTGTTGACTTTTGTATTTGACTTTGACATTGGCTTTATATTTGATATTGGCTTCGCATTCGACATTGGTAATGCCCATAATTTCTCACATTCAGTGCTAACTTAAATATTTGGTATCACTGTTTTTGTGTCTTCATTTGCTATGACTAATCTTGTTCTTAAGCACTGGCATTATTTTTTTGGCACTGCTCTATAACTAGTATTGTTTTTGCCTCTTTTTAAGTAGTTGCTTTTTTTTTGGCATGCCTAATTACTTTGATCTTGTTCTTACCTCCCTTAATATTGGTTTGTTCTTTGGTGCTGCTTTATAATTTGGTCTATCTGTCTTTGTCTAAGTGATCTTCTACTGACAATGCAAGTTCTATATCAGAGAAAAGCAAGTCTTTACCTGGATGACACGTGCAGAATATGTTATCTAGAGACCGAGATGCAAGAACTAGGGTTCCTAGGTTCAGTTCAGTTCAAATTTAAGTTCAATGAACCTGAACTGAACCTGAACCTAAACCACAAATTTTGCAGATCTTTGAACCTGAACCTGAACTGAAC